AWTTTWTTTTAAAMTTTTGTTAGCTTTTGCCCCTAGTTGGGCAGGGACACCRCARCAGYKTGAGCCAATTACTGCGGACCCTGTACTCTCACACCCACTACCTCTATACATTCAGTATTTTAGCACACAACACTCCTCASATGTTGATTTCTACTGAGGGAGGAAAACAAACTAGTATGTTATGGACTTACAAAGACACAGTCAGCATTACAACCACAAATAGYAGAATCAGCGTCTTGGACATCATTGTGAGTAATAGATTCTGAAAGCAAAGGCAAATTACTGATGATATTATATGTCTAATTGTTATCTCTAAGCAAAATCTAATCATCTCCTCACTAACAACACGTTAATGGTCAAAGTTTATTTTTACCTTGATTGTTCTGGTTGATAGACGTATTTCGTAATGCTAAAGAAATACCGTCCGTCCTAAAGGCAAGCTCGGTCWACACTGAGAGAGCTGTCATTGGAACAGTTCTTACATCCAGTCAGTCAACAATAAGTATATAATGAAAAGATTAAGTTAAAAAAMCACTATTGTTGGGTTAAGATGCTCATCTGATTTCCCAAGCCTGAAGATTAGCAAATAATAGACTTCAATTCAATTGGTTGAATGTATATTCATCTCGGTGAATAGAAGCGGATCTTCAAAAAGTCAATGCTACACAATTGGCCACAATTCTTGTCATATTTGTGAGTTCAGTAATTATTTTTTGCGTCTTCACAGCCCACTTTTTATCTTCCCTATGCGCAAGTTTTGAATGATTTCCCTGTTTCCTTAGTACGGTGTAGACTTTGCTGCATTTCAGATGTTGCACCTTGAAAATTATAATGATACTTAAACGATAAACAAACATGGGAATCTTGGCTTCAAACATCCTAATCTTTTGTGAATCCGCGAAGCGCGCCATTGTACTCCCACTGGGGCTCTTTGTTGAGCACTTGCACATGTAAACCCTAAAAACTCTAGGGAATTACAAGGCAGAATCGACACTGAGAATGAGATTTCAAATTACTGAATATAAGTCTAAATGAGTACAAAAACTCGGCCAATGCTCCTTGAACAGTTATGCTTTAAGGGGAGGACCAGGRAGTTGCGCGAGTAATGCCAACTGCTAATAAACATTTATAACATTCTGATTGATGGTATAATCCGCTTGGGGATTTCACAAATTTGTTTGACAATTGTCCTATAGCATAATGTGSCACAGCGAGACAGTAGAATTTTTTGGTCCTATAAATATTCTTTTAAATTTTATCTATACTTATAATGTGAATAAAGGACCAAAGGCTGCTCAATACATGTGCAATTTCTTGATATGCAGATATCCCGTCCCCCTCTGTGAACCCGATAACTTTTAGTGCTAAAACATGGAAATGTTTGAATAGAATTAAAAAAGTTGTATGGTACATATAGCCCCAGAATTACATAACTATGTATAGAGGTATCCATGTCATCTCGCTACGCTGAATCTCGTCACCATCAGATATCCCGAGAATCTATTTTCAGACAATCAATCACAAGGTGCGCACATATATTGATTGCCTGGTCTTGATTGGTCCTTTCTGATACTACTTCAAGAGCGGAAAAGATAAGAMAATTGAGTCGGTGGAGGCGAGCAAAGTGAAGTTTGCATTACGAGAATTTTACACTTTTGCGGTACAACAATTTCTCAATTTGATAGAAAACATACTATACTACTGTATGAGCAATGTAGCGAGAGTAGTTCAAGAGCAACATGGTCTGTTGTGTTTGAAGTGCAACAGGGGTTAACTGAATGGATCTGAATGGGGTTATCTGCTAACTGAGAAACGGTTAAAATAATAACTGTTAACTGAGAATTCCGCGTTATATTTAACTCGAAACAGATATCAACAAGATAGCTGCTATCTGACATTCCTTTTTATTACATTTACTTATGTTACATAGTTATAACCAACTCAATTGCAATTGCTGTTGACAATCTACATTATCTAAAACGGTGATTTTTATTTCAATGTTCTCCCTCTCTCTCAAAACTTGAATTAGCCAGCTCTTTATGAAAACTTTAATCAGTTATATGATGCTGACGCTGTTACACTGTGGAATTTTCTCAATAACATGTTTGCGATTTTCGAGTCACGTACGGTTTTAACATGCATGACTTTCTCAAAACGCCATCTTGATTATGGCCCTGCGGCGTTTCATGACAAGTTTCTGAAAAAACTTCACAATGCATAGTCCAATATTGATATTGTATTTATTGTTATTAATATTTTAAGTCAATTTGACTATATCACAGGAGTGTTTCTAGGATTTAATGACTTCAATAGAATTAAGTATTATTTAATTAGTCTTTTTTTCTTTATCTTTTCCATTTAGAGGGAAGTCAATAAACCCGTGAAACAATTTTTTTTCTAATCTACACTATAGAGTAGCTTAAACTGAAATATGAACCATTTCCTAATAGAGCGAATGCTTTAAACACTTGAAACAAAGCTTGATTATTGATTACCAACAAAATGCTTGAAGAATTTAAATCCAAGAAGCAAGATCAGTATTTCAATCCGTTGGAAAGTCGATCTGTCATCGTCCAAAAAGGTTTATTTTTTGAAAGGAATAAAAACAAATTATGAATCTGAGAACTATTTAAATCAAATTCAAAACTTTGATCAAAGAAGAATTTTGACTAAATTCCGAATAAGTAATCATAAATTATCAATAGAAACTGGGCGGTACTACACCGAAAAATCCACTGCGCATCTTCGATATTGGCAGTGTTGTGATAAACAAGCTGTTGAATCGGAAATGCACAAGAACGAAAAGAATTTTTAGAAAAGGTTAATTGCACAAATTTCAACAAGAATTCTGACCTTGCAGAATATACATATTACATACAATACATACAACATACAGCCTTTTGCAAAAATTATGAGAATTGTCGAAATATCTAAATATCATAGTATCAATTGCATGATGCAGGGTAATCCCGCGCGATTCCCTTTGTCCTTTGTCTTTGTAGTTTAGTTTTTTTCGGCGGCGACGGACTTATCCATAGTTCTGAACATTTTCTCGATGTCAACAATGAATTATTCTAGCAAACCGGGGGTTCGGGACAAAGGGCTGCGCGCGGGATTACCCATCATGCACTTGATATTATGATATTCAGATATTTCGACAATTCTCATAATTTTTGGAAAAGGCTGTATATTATAATATACATTACAACATACAACTTATTATCTTTCAAAGTTCATTCAAAAATCTTTTAAACTTCGTCTAGAAACGTTATCCAACAAAGTGGATAATCACTAGTTAAATATGATTAAATATCATATTGTTAAATATATAAAGTAACCTTTTATTATAATTATTACAATTTATCATATAGTAAATAATGATTGTAAATGAGAATTAGTGATCGGTTCCAGTTTGTAACCTTTAGCAATACCTGTAGCTATGTATCTATCTAAGAATAGTCAAAATTTTATTCCCGCAAAGAAAAATGTATGAAAATGTCCTATGAAAATGCCGTGACACTTCTATACAAGGAAGTGGGCGGTCCTACTAATGGGCTCTTAGTACGGGATAGAGTTATTTCAGAAAACGGTGAAAATACTGAATACGTACTGATACGGGGAAGTGCATTCCACGATAGATATGTTTTGCTAGTCACTGGAAAAAATCGCGCTGTAAATTGAATCAAAAAACGTAAGTAATATTTCCATCATTTTGGACACTTACAGACTATTTCCATTAAACTATTTACAACCTTCGAGGAGCGCGATTTTTTCCAGTGTAGTCGTTCTAACACCGTTGTAAAGGAGTTTAATTGCATGGTTTCAGCGACTAAAGAGCAGTCTTAATCTATGCAAAGGAATTCAGTTTAGAATTGGACTTCTGCATCGCAGTTAAAATAGCAACAATCCATTGCGGGCTTTAAATATACTTTGCATGCCGCATTGACTATTCTTTAAATTCAAGTACAAGGGGAAAAAGCCTCGCTTGTAATATTGAAAATAATAGAAGAATAAACAATCAATTTACACACCGTAAAAAAGTAGATGAAACAACGTAACTTACTAGCGTTTCGGACGTTAATCCTCTTTTCTTCCGACGAAGGATTATCGTCCGAAAGGTCAGTAAGTTATTTCACCTACTTTTTAACGGTGTTTAAATTTATCTTTTACACAAACTGTTTCTTTAGAAACAACCAACGACGATGCTAGTTTCCACCATTTTAATCAATTTACTCTTAGATTCGAGGCTAGTCTGGCCTTTAGTGGAATGTTAAGAATAGTCAATATGGTATTCAGTACGTATTTAACTTTTTCTATGAAATAGCTGTATCAATGGCGTGCAATCTGAAATTGCAGTAAAAAGCATAGGTCTTTATGTATTATRACCGCCATGATGAACCTGTGTGCGTTTTGAAGGGAGAGTAGCATAGTAGTAGACTCKTCGTAGCTGGAATTCAAAGAACTCCATGATTGTTAAAATACTCATACCAAGGAAAAGACCAAAATTRCCTCCAACTCCACCTGAAGACAATGACAAATGATATGGCTCGATTAGGGCGCTTCGTGCCGACAAAAACAATATCGAAGAGAGAAAATATCAAATCTCTGGAACCAGGGTATCGAATAGCCAATTTTGAGGTGATTGTTCTAAACCAATCTTGTTGGTTAAAATTAAAAATCATATATAACCAACTCATTATTGGTTGAAATAATGTAGTATAAACTGGGAAATACGTCGTGACTGACTAGTATTAACTGGGGAATCACGTCATGACCGACTAGTATAAACTGGGGAATAGGTCATAACCAACTTGTCTATACTGGTAATAACACTGTGCATGCAAAAAGGCGAATATTCCAGTCAATTCGCTCGAATATGAACCCGCATACATTTTTTTCGATGACGTTCAAAAGCATTCAAGTCCGAATGACGCGTAGTCTCCTCTCGCAGCCGTTAGGACGTTCGTTCCCAGGTCACTCCCCCCTAACGGCCGTTAGGGAGGAGTGACCTGGGAACGAACGTCCTAACGGCTGCGAGAGGAGACTAAATGACGCGAGGTCAGACAAAATAATGAGATAGTAGAGAGAGCCTGGTGATGAGCTCCTCACGTTACGATCCCATAGTTCTTTGYGATCCTCTATCATTTGAAACCGCGCCACTTTTAACTGTTCTACGATTGTCTTGGCACGAGTTCAACAAGAATTCTAGCCTTTCTAGCGTTCATAATGCTGGCCAAAACCAGAATCATGATTAGATGTTCTTATTTGAGATCCTGTGAAACGACCTACAATTAGGTGAACTATTTTACACTTTTCTGCTGTGCTTTTGCTAAAATTCCATTTAAGAACAACAACGTGCAACATCTTTATAGTCTATAGATGAAGTACATTACCAATATATTTAACTTTGTGTTAGTTATGATTATGGTCATCACTGCTTGCCGTACTTACTGACTAGCTCAGACCATCCAAACACAGGGACCTGTCTGACCTCTTCAAAGTAAAAGTCTTTCAGGTAAACATTAATTGACACAAAGTTCTCCCTTAAAATGAACAGAAAACTTGAATTATTAGTTTGAACGCAACTGAGATTCTGATTGCATTTGAAGAATGCCATTCATTAGTTACATGGGCGTTGATGATGAAACAAATCACCGGCTACCAGCAACAAACCGACGTTCTCAAAGGTACACTTAAAAAACTCATACATAATTAATGAGCTAGTAGGCCAATAGAATGAGCCTATTTGGTCACATGCATGGACCTTTATATCTGATAAAACACTCCTTATTAGTATTCTTTATATAAAGAATACTAATAAGGGTGACCTATCAGATATTTAAGGTCCATGACCCTAGCAAAGGTCTCAGGTTTGAAACCTGATCATTGACCAATGCAGGATGTCAACCGATTTCAGTGAACAGCCAAGAGCGGTTGTATTTTACTTTATGCGTATTCAATGTGGGATGACAAGAGTGCTTTGTAAAGTGATTCGCGCATGATCAGTTTGCCCCATTTATCTCTGAACATATTTGTACGGCAATTTCTCCAAGAATTTTAACGGATTTGAGTTTCAAATTAGTTTTGGAGTTTATTAAGCCGTTTAAAACACTAACTCGAGATCGTGTGTTAAACTATACAAAAGTCACCAAACTATTCAATTTCATCGCATAGTTATAAACGAGATAAAATAAAAGACCTCATTATTATTTATTGTTATTTCAAAAAAATCTATTGAAAAAAAGAACCCCATAAGGTTGRGCACGATCGATAAGGTTCGATAATTGCCAGTGATTAATATCGGCTACCTAAGGGATGTGTCATTATTTAACGCCAAGGGTGGAGTGAAGGAATTTTTCAACATTTTTTTTGGCGGGATGCATGTATTGTAAAAAGGGTTGACACATTAGCAAATCATCCCCCGCCCCACCCCCGCCGCGGGTGATATCAATCBCAAAGAAAACAAAGTGTTACCTGAAATACTGTATGTTTTGTACGTCTGACATGTTTCTCATCTCTTGACAAATACTGGTTGATTTGTTATCGTGTTTGCAGTATTCATTCGCGTCATCAACTAAATGCTTGGTGTTTAGCAATGCTGTTGACTGAACTGTACGAAACTCGCTGGTACTGCATTCTGTTGGACAGGAGTTTTGACATTCCAAGAACGAGTCAATGCTGCGGATGTCGTCTAGAAATCCCAAAAAAAAATAAAATAAAAATATAAAAACACGTGTATGTCATCTTGATACTTAACAACGTTTCAAGCAAAAGGCCTAGTATTGCAGGAGATTCACACTATGTAGCTGACGCCCGTCACCTTCCACGCGCACAGCACACAGTCGAAACAGATTGCAAAGTGTGTCAACTTACGCAATAGGAGGCTAGAACACATCACCTGACTTTGATTTGTGCACAGGTTCATCCCTAAAATAATGCATATTATTACACAAAAAATCACAATTATCATTTCTACACTTTAAGCCATATCTAAAAAGAGATAGCGATTCTCATCTATTTCTGTCGATTTTTCCCACGATTATGAGACATTTCTCATAATCGGGGAAAAAATAATAATAATAATAATAATAATTTAATTTATATAGCGCTTAAATTATAAAATATTCTAAAGCGCTTTACAAAATATTTACAGAATATATGAATACAATAGATAAATAAATAAATAGATAAATAAAAGGATTATAAGATATATGTATACATAAAATAAATATAAAAATTTCTGGGGAAAACAAATCAATAATATGCCTTCTTAAAAAGGTGAGTCTTAAGATTTTTCTTGAAGGTCTCTACATTTGTTGATAGTCTGATATCTAGTGGTAAAGCGTTCCATATTCTAGGTCCGGCTATGGTGAAAGCACGGTCACCTGATTTTGAGCTAGATCTTGGGATGGACAAGAGATTTTTATCATCAGATCTTAGGTTGTATCTCCTCGTTGGCTGCGCCTGAATTAGGTTTGTCAGGTAAACAGGGGACAAACCATTTAGAACTTTAAAAACCAGTAGAGCAATTTTAAACTCAATCCTTTCCTTTACTGGAAGCCAGTGAAGATTTATCAGAGATGGAGTAATATGGTCAAACAACACAAAACCCAAGAAAAGAGTCGCAAACAAGAAAACATCACACAATGTGTTGTGTTCCCATGCAACCGCCCCTTTGAACATTATAAGTACGTATACTTTCAGTTCGAAATTACTGAAAAATATTCGGTCTGTAGTATCACTAATAATTCAATATTCTATTAAAATTATTTATTGCAGCTAACATCGAAGTGGATTTTTTTAACTCAAACACGGTATATTTTATATATTATATATATCCATTACGCGTAGAAAAGGCAATTTTATTCCGTGCATGTAACACAATAATCCTATACATGTGGTCGCTTCGTTTTTGACTTTGCGACGTAAAAGCCCCTTTTTCGCGGGCTCAAATCGGACATCCAAATCGGACACGAAAAATATTTAAAAATCTTTTCATAAATCAGGAATCGCTTTTTAGGACGTAAAACCAATTTTTTGAGTTTTCCAGTCAATAGAGAATTCTTACTAAATAAGTCATTCACACGTCAGTTGCTATTTAACTTTTGCCGTGAAATTCAAGTTTATGATTGTTTTAGAAGCTGGTTTAACATTAATTGTTTGAAAGAAGCTCATAGCTTGGGTTTTTTAAAGTGTAGACTTAAAGTAGTTCAGGGGCGGATCCAGGATTTTCCTCAGGGAGGGGTGTGGGCCTCTCAGGAGGGGGTGCACCCCTCAAAAATCATTAGCATGAAGATACAAATTAAGGAAAGTATTGAAGAAATAGATCTCAGGAGAGATTACGCACCCCCTGCACCCACCAGCTGGATCCGGCTCTGTAGTTTAATAATTGTTTACCTGGTAACAAATACATGCTACATCCACAAATCTTCAAACCAATGGCGGCGAAGCAATCAGCTTGACACAGCTCTTGAGTGTAAGTCAAGTCTTTAARATATTTTAGCTTCTTTGTCCCACATTTTGTGTCGTAAGGATAAGGTAAGCTATATATCTGAAACGTAGGAT